AATATCCATAATGATGTACCCACAAACATTCTTTCAGGAATAAATGGGTACGTGGGCATGGACATTTAACGTAAGGGCTTCCTCCAAACATGAGAATTGGATAAGGAATCAACAGCAGGCATACATCTAGTTGTATACTGTAACCTAATATATATTGAGGAAACATGGATTCCCCATATAGTTCAACAAGCTTTAAAGAGAAGGATTTTTGCAGCCGCTATCTTTAGTACTTTCAGCCACTACTTTTCCATTTTGACCATTTTGCCCATATTATTTGACTAAACCAAATTGAGGGAGAGAGAGAGGAGGACAGAGAGAATGAGCCACTCAAATGCATTTGGAGAAAATCAAAAAATCGGATCGAACCGGGCAAGGCATCCAGTCCGATCGGTAATACTGAATGTAATTCAAATAATAAATTATTCATAAATTTAATGAATAAAGATTTTAATGCCTAAAAACTAGATTAACTAATTTAAAAAAAATCTAAATTTTACATGTAATAGTAATAAATTCGATTGATATTTTTTTAATTTTTAGACTTTTTTTTAAATAGCAAATATTGCTATTTTTTTAATTACAAAATAAATAACCAAAAAAAATCTTTAAAAAAAAAGCAATGAATCCGATTGATATTTTTTTTTAATTTTTAGACTTTTTTTAAACAACAAATATTGATATTTTTTTAATTACAAAAAAATAACAAAAAAACAAAAAATCTAAATTAAAAAATACAAATGAATCCGATTGATTTTTTTTTTAATTTTTAGACTTTTTTAAATAATAAATATTACTATTTTTTAATTACAAAAAATAGCAATGAATCCGATTGATATTTTTTAAATTTTAAGAATTTTTTTAAATGACAAAATATTGCTATTTTTTAATTACAAAAAAAATGACAAAAAAACAAAAAAAATCTAAAAATTAAAAAAATAGGCCTGACTGGACCGGTTCCCCATATCGGACCGAACTGGGACCGGTCGGGCAATGAAACCGTTTCGAGTTAACATGAGACGGGGTAATGAACTCGCCCACTTGTTTACTCGAACGGGTTCATTGCCTGTCCCGGGTTAACTCGGGACGGTGGTCCGCGCGTCCCGGGTTAGCCGGAGACGGGCAATGAACCCATTCGGACGAACAAGTGGGCGGGTTCATTGCACGTTCGGGGTTGACTCGGGACGGGTGGACCGCCCGGTCGGCTGGTTTTTTTTTTTAAATTTTAAATTTCTTTTTAATTTTTTCTCTAGTCAAGATATTTGATTTGAAAAAATAACATGGTCCAAATTTGAAATTTGTGGCTGAAAGAACTAAAGTTGATGGCTGTAAAAACTAACACCTAGCTTTAAAGCTTGGCCCAACTGTTGAAATCTCAGAAGAGCTCAATCCGGTCAACGTTATTATCGGAATCAAATTTTTTAGTATATTATGTATTTGGTGTATAAAGTTAAGAGTCCCCTGAAATACAGATTGATAGGTAATTTCTCTGTAAATAAAGTTGGAGTTGCACGATTAATAGAAACCAAGCTAATGGAAGAAAGGGTGATAGAGTTGATGGAAAGAAAGTGGAATTGTTATGACTATAAAGGCAATCATGAAGGAAAAGAGAAGGGAAGAACGCTATTACTATGGAGGAAAGGAGAATTTAATGTTCAGATAACACAGATAAGCAAGCAATATGTACATTGCTTTATAACAGAAATGGGGACAAGCAAGCAATTCTATCTGACATTGGTGTATGCTGATCATACAGTCTAAGGAAGGCAGATTCTTTGGGAAGAGTTAGTTGGAATCTCTCAGTCAATCCTACCTCCTTGAATTATGATTGAATATTTCAATTGCACTTTAGAACCAGAGGAAAGACTTGGAGGAATAGCTGATGTTAGTTATGATACAGGGAAGTTTAAGGAAATGGTGGAACTAGTAGAAGTAATGAACATGCAAACTTAGGGATGGAAGTTTACATGGACTAATAAACAAATGGGAGATATGAGAATCATGGCAAGGCTTGATAGAGCCCTGATCAATGAGAAATGGTTGCAGGACTTTCCGGAGGCATATGTAGTGGTTAATCCAGCTGGCTTATCAGAACGCAATCCTTTGATTGTCAAATGGGGAGAACCAGTGGTGAATAATCAGAGATCATTCAGATATTTTAATATGTAGTCACAACATCCAGAATTTAAGGAAATTGTTAAGTCCATTTGGGATTTGGAGTTTAATGGATGCAAGCAATTCAGTGCGGTAAAGAAACAAAAAATGATGAAACAGAAACTGAAGAAGCTAAACAGAAAAGAGTATTGTTGCATTGAGGATCAAGCACAGGAATGGAAGTTGAAACTAGAAGGAATACAACATAAACTGACGACTGATCCACATAATAAGGAGATTCAGATAGAAGAAAGACAGATATTGGAGAACTACATACAAAGTACAAAAGCAACAATGAGTTAGTGGCAACAAAAGCTGAAGGAAAGATGGATTGTAGAGGGGGACATGAACTCAAAGTATTTCCATGCAGCTCTTAAACAAAGGAAACATTAGAGGAAAAATAAGGTCATTCATAAATCAGGAACGTGAAATCATAGAAGACTGGCCAAAAGTTCAGGATCATTTCATTAGCTATTATGAAAACCTACTTAGGAAGGAAGCAAGTAGAACACCTGCCAAAAGTGAAAATTTTTAGTCAGGGATTAAACTGACTATACATCAGCATATTTTCTTAACTAATAATTTCACCAAGGCAGATATTAAGAAAGCATTTTTCAACATTGTCATTAACAAAACTCCAGGTCCCGATGGCCATAGTAATGGATTCTATAAAGAAGTTTGGAATATTATAGGTGATGAAATCAATGAAGATGTGTTGGAGCTTTTCAGTAAAGGGAAAATGTTGAAGCAACTTCATCCTACTCTCATATCATTGATCCCAGAGAATGTAGTTCCTAAGGATGCTACAGAATAGGCCAATATCATGTTGAAACACTTTATGCAAATGCATTTCTAAAATGTTTAGGACAAGGTTTGATGGAGGTGTTACCTGACTTAGTGGACCTCAATCAAGGGGCCTTTGTTAAGCAGAGGAACATTCTCCACAACATTTTGCTAACACAAGAGCTGATCAGACTATATGGAAGAAAAACGGCTCCACCAAGTTGCATTATGAAAGTGGATCTCAAGAAAGCCTTTGATTCAGTTCATTGTAGCTTTATAGAGGAAAATGCAGAAAGAATATGTATTTCCCAGAAGGTGTATAAACTGGATATTAGTATGTATCATTACATACAGTTACTCCATCAACCTTACTGGCAACAACACAGGCATTTTTCCTGGTAAGGAGGATTAAGACCAGGAGATCCATTATCCCCACCGTTATTTGTGATGGTTATCAAATACTTGACAAGACACTTTAAAGTGGAAGCAGAGAAAGGAGGAATCAAGTTCCCACCCCGCAGTGATAAATTGAAGATCATATCCTTGAACATTGCAAATGACTTATTGATTTTCAGTAAGGCAGAAGTACATACAGTGAGCATGATTAAAATGATCCTTGATCACTTTATAGATACCACAGGGCTGAGTATGAATTTGCAAAAGTCTAACAAATACTTTGGAGGCTGTTCAAATGAATTACAGGATCAAATCAGGCAGATTATCAAATTTGAAAAAGGAAACTTCCCAATGAAGTATCTAGGACTTCTAATCTCTCCAACAACATGGAATAAGAGAGATCGTCAAATCCCGGTAGATAGAATAACTGCAAGGATGAAATGTTGGATCACCAGACATCTATCCCATACAGAAAGGGTTCTAGTGATTAACTCAATATTACTACGCTTGCTCCTACTGGGTAGGCATCTTCATCATTCCACAAAGTGCTATTGAACAGATTATAAGCTGCAGCAGAACATTCTTATAGGGTAAGAAGGAGAATGGGTAAAGCTGGGCTCTTGTAGATGCGATGATCTTTGCAGGGGGAAGAATGAAGGAGGTTTAAACATTAGAGATCTATCTATATGGAACAAAGCTCTGGTGGGAAAACAGCTATGGGATTTAGAAAATAAGAAGGAAAGCCTATGGGTGAAGTGGAAGCATGTATAGTTCATAAAACAGAAGTCCATATGGGTACATATCTAATCAACCAAAAGACTGCAGTTGGCACCCTTGAAAAAGCTATTGAGAATCAGGGATGATGTGGAAATTGGAGTACAACAAGGCAAATGGACTCGCAAAGGAAACAAAGAATATACTCCAAGGAGTGGTTATTAATGGCTGAAAGGAGGTGGAGTGAAAATGGCAGAAGCAAAAATCATCTGGACAAAATACAGTGTGCCTAAACACTATTTCATCAGTTGGTTAGCATAGAGAAGAAGGCTGCTAACTTCAGAAAGACTGATGCACATGAATATCAAATTTACTGATCAACAATGCATCTTATGCAAAGCTCATGATGAAACATGGGAGCATCTCTTCTTTAGATGCCAATATGCGAAGGAAATAATCAGAGAAGTGAAAAACAAGCTAAGTGAAATAGAGGAATTGAAGAAAGCTTAGTTGCTGAGAATCTGGAGGTTCAAAAGCTTGAAGCAGAAAATACTACATGCTTGTATTAATGCTACAACCTACCATGTATGGATGGAAAGGAATGCAAGAAGGTTTGGATCAAGTAAGCTCGCTGCTTTGGAAAGATTCGAGATGATCAGAAAGGAAATAACTTGGAGGGTGGGTAAACTTTGTAAACGGGCATGATCCTTAGAACGTAGAGCCTTGCAGCAGTTAGGAATCAATTTATTCTTGTAAATAGAATACATGATGATGTAAAGTGATCACAGTAGTGTTTGTACTGATAAATACATTTTACATTTTAACAAACAAAAGAAAAAAAAAAAACATATCGTTTTCATTGTGCTGATGTACTCCTTTGAACCCTTAACATAGCGCCACCCACAATTTCTTGCGCCACAGAACTATTATGCCAATCTCGCCACAACCATTTCTTGTCATAATGTTAAATACAAAGGATCATCTAAAACTTGGATAATCTTTTTCCAACGGCTCAACACTTCTTTTGGAATATATTGTTCCCTCTGGTCCCGAAATTCAGAATTTGGTGGACCTAACTCTCCACCTTGCTTAAGAAAGCATGATTTGGCACATTCAAAGTGAATTTGGTATCTTACACATTGTTTACACTCAAAAGCCATACCTTCCTTTATACTATCATTGCAATATTCACAAGCACGACTACCCACAAACATTCTTTCAAGAATTAGAGGGTGGCAATGGGAACTTAATGTAAGGCTTTGCCCGAACTTGATATTGGATAAGGAATCAAGTGAATGCATACAAGTAATGTGAAAACTTTGGTCACATTGAACACAATGGTAAAACCAACCATGTTGATTCACCTCCAACTCGCAAATCTCACAATAGTATTCATCATCATCTGAAAGATGCCGACGACCTTGGATAGGTTTGTAAGTAAGATGGAGAGGGTGCTTATCGTACCTATGGCGGATCGTGCTTGGGTAGAGGGCACATTTCTGATGCAAGTTAAAGCTACAAGTCAAACATCTGTATATGTATTCGCCTTGATCTTCACCGGCAAGGAGACAACATGGACATGGCGCGTACCTCCTCTTGCTCAACTCCAACCTATGTTGTGGATGTGAATCATGTACGATGTGTGCGGGTAAGAGGGCACATTTAACATCATACAGTTCTTTTCCATATCGACTAGGGACTCCGTGAAAGAAAACCTTGTAGCTTAGTCCATTGCATGGGCGTTGACAACCATGACACTGAAAGATATCGAAAGATGAGCTATCTAAAACCCCATCTGATTTCCCCGAAAATGAGCCTTGTAAAAAAGAACAATCTAATTCCCACGAAAAAGAGGCTCCTGAAATAGCGTTTAATGTCCGGAATGGGGAAGGAACTAGTCGATCAGGCAATTCAATGCAACGTTTATGAAGAAAGAAGTTGCATTTCGAATCGGCGCAGCTAAAGTATGGTGGCGAGATGGGCTGAATGCAACCATCGCATAAGCTTGATTTCGACCCATCACGTGCTGCCTGATCATGAAGAATCAAGGGATGTCCGCAATGCACGTCCCTGTTTGGCCTGAAACCATGAGGGGAATTATCTTGTGCATAAGGTTCCAATCCCCTCCGTAAATGGCTTACTAAATCAACAAATTCACTTTCCACTGGAAGACGGATCACATCATCGAGGGACTCCACTTTGCTTCTTACTGCATGGACATAATCGTTTTTTAAGTTTCAGGTGATGCATAATATGTTACGTATTGTGTCCCAAAATTATTGTCCAGTTTAGATTTTCACTTTTCGTTCAATTTATATTAAAAATGAAAAATCTAATAAGTTCAGGATGGAGGGAGTACATATTTAAGGGAATTTAAAATCAGTGTAACGACATGAAGGACAGTTTCAAAATCACAACGATTTTTTTTCCTAAAGAAGTGTAACTAATGCGTGCAATTGATGATCATAATTAAAAATGTCTTATTTTCAAAGTAACAAACAACTTCAGATCGAGTTAATTACCTGGGTAGATGATGGACATGAAGGGTTCTGTATCGAATGTAGCACATCTTGTATGAGCAAAATATCTGCATGCCTTACAGTGATACACCCATAATTCAGGGTTTATCTTATCTCTACAAATCTCACACGTCAACATTCCACCTTTTAATCGATTATATTCCTCAGGAAGAGAATACGCAAGATGAAGTCGATGTTCATGAAGAACATCAAGAGAAAAGGTGGTGGTTAGTCTAGCACAGCCTCGATCAATCGAAAACCAACACAATTGACACACAAGCGGATGACCTGGGTGACTTGTACCACAAGCATTACAAGTGAACGAAACCTCTCGAGTCATAGGGATCAAGGGATGTTGCGGATGGCTTTCGTGCTGAATTGTGAACCCTTTTGGAGCTAGCGCGCACACCATATCTAGATTAGCATGTTCGTAATCAGAATAGAAGAGCATGCCCACAAGTGGTTGCTTGCAGCAAAAACACTGGCGATTTGGGTGTTGTTCAAGCTCACATAGGAATAGTTCACTATTAGGGTCCGGGAGACTAGGATGACCCTTCACTACATATGGTATTTCCTTGCACGATTTGTGCAGCCTAAATGTTGAACATCCCGTGCATCTGTAATATTCATTCGAACATATCCTGAATTTGCAATAGTTGCACTCAAAATTTAATCTTGACCTTGATGTTGATGATGATGATGCTTCTTCATCTTGATGGAGGATCATTTCGTGCTGATAGTGTGTCTTCGGAAGTATACTCACCGATTTGCCAGCCATGGTAACTACCCTTTTCAAATTACTCTTGCAATGTATCTCAAAAACAAAGGAAATTAAAAGCCAATGAAATATATTAAATATGTGGTGAGTTTTTGCAAATTTTTTTATGTCAGTTTGTTTTCATTTAAGTTGATGGTGCAGATTTATACATGTACGAAGCATTATCTATATGATTACCAACATTGTGTTTTTCTTATTCTTTTCCTAATTCCTGAAGCTTTGCTTCATTCTCAATCAAGGAAAGTAAGATTCTTTGTTAATTCCCCCACCCAACCTTCCTTATTTAAAATTTTTTTTTCTCTCACTACAACAAAAAGGAGATAATAGTAACTCTTTTGTGTCCTTAAAAGGTACATAATATGACACTTAATTAATAAGACACAATCAAAGAGTGTCCTCTATTATCTAGTCGCAATAGCTATATAAAACACTAAAAGTGTCTTATTAAACTATACCAAATAAAACACTTCATATATGTCCCGTTAAGTTATGGGACACTTGTGAAAATAGGACACTTTAAAGTGACCTAATTAGTGTATTACTATTAGAACACTTAAAGAGTGTCCCAACAACCATTGATTTTAAAAAAATAATAATAATTAGCCTAGCTACAACATGCAATAAAAGTAAAATTGGCAATTACACTGACGCGAATCCAGGCAATTTCCATTGAAAATGAAACATACAATGACATCAAGAAAGTAGAGCACATACCTGTGTTATTGTTAAACATTATATAGCGAACCGTCACTACCTAATAACTAAATTAGTATCCAAAGACAACATGGACGAACTTCTTAACCAATCCTTCCAGCATTGTTCACATCTTCTTCAACTGGCATATGAAATTAGAGCAATAATCAATTAGAATTTGGATATACTCGTATAATCAATCGAAAAAAATGATTTCCTTTAAGGATGGTCGAAATAGGAGCGATAATTCTTATTAGCTAGGGAAAAGACAGGCAGAATTCATCAAACTACAAGAAGGCATCAAAAGAATCAAAAGACGAGGCTTCTGCCCCTAAAGGGCTTACACACTTTCTACTACAGATGTAGACGGGCAAGGATCAACAATATTCAATAAAATTTCAACTAAGAGCTGATTAACATAACCAAACAACTGAACAAGAAGCTGCATATGCCAAAAATTCGACAAAAGCTCAAAAGTATCACTAGTACTTGAAACTTGGGATGAATTAAAATGGAACCAGAACATTCCCTGATTCCAACCCTACTTTTTGTCTAATAAGCCAGAATTAACAGTCCAATTAATTGACTCTAACCAAGCAAATTTGCACGGGCAAACATCCATCATCACACTGTAACACACTGAATCAATAAATCACCTGATCTGGATACTATTTATTTTTTTTTAATAAACCATCAATATTTTGAGGAAGATAAGGGAATCAAATATACAGATGTCCAACCCAAATGATAAAATTTGACAAGAGAAAGTACCTCTAATCCGTCGTTTAATTTGCTGCTCACTACTATCAACAGAGGATGTGTCATGAAGCAAGCTGACATTTCAGGTGTCCCGCAAATCATAAACTAATAATAAGCATAGTGTTATATAATCCTGTTACACAGCAGCGTAGAAATTGAAATCAAAGAGGTGAACAGTGAAGATATTAGCATATAAAGCTGCAAGTCGGGAAAACATGCAAACAGACATGAAAAGATAATGTATCATAGAGGTATTGTTCTAAGCTTGTACTTGTACTTCTTGAGAAGTATCATTTGGAACATGTTGCTACTTAATTGTTTATATCAGTCTGCAGTTAATCATTTGGAACATGGTGCAACTTCTGAGTAAATAATACCCAAACAACTTCAAGTAGGGTAACGGGGTCAAACGAACAAGAAAAGTAGATTAGTTTTGAACCACAATACCACACGACCTCAGAGTTGAAAATTACAGGTTGAATGCAATCTCCCAAAAATACCTCAGTACAAATGGAATCTTCAATTTTGGTGGAACCTCTACTCCAAAGAAATCAGTCTCTTTAGCCAATCTAAGCAGCACTCTGCGCAAGACCTCTCCCAAGTGCACGCCGGAGGTTAGCTACTCAAATGTCTATAAGCAAAAATCAATCATAAGCTATAAGAGACTGTTTATGTAAGGACGGAAAAGTAGCGCACATTATGAATATTCTGACCAGTTCACCAGGATTCAAACTCTCAGTATCCAATAATAAGTCATACTCTATTAAAGGAAGATGTTTATAACCTACAATCCAGTAGAGATGAACTTTCATTAACCTGCTTCAGAAATCTAGCATAATGAAAACTGATATTGTTCCAAAGGGATCAATAGAAGGACACACTGAACACTAAAAATATAATGTGAAAACAACGAAACATATGAGTTAAAAGTCATGGCAGAATTACATTCAGTAAAGAGACTAAGAACAAATAACTTCACTGACCATCTCTCTAGTCTTAAGTAATGGATCATGTCACTTTGGAATTGCCTGAGAACGTTCTACATATGCTGCTTTGGTTCCAGCACCCATTATCACAGCAATTGCTACATCACTTAATGTTCCAGAGTCCATTTAAAGTAACCACCAAAATCCAACCTGAAAGTTCCAGAATACATTTAGTAGTAAGTTCAAACATATGCAACTGCCAAAGTACAGAACTAACACAATTAGGTAGTTGTAAATTACGTTTACACATATCGATTTTTATCCACCGCAACTGAAAATTCAAGCACTAAAGTTAGATGAAGTCACATGCAATATGAAACAGAACCTTGAAGGTCACAAAAGTTTTATACAAAAACAAATGGTATCAGAATTATGGCCAACCTGTATGATCTATTCACATGCACTGCTGCTTATGGTTTCCCCCAATAAAAATACACTTGCTCAAGGTTGTCGTTGAGCTTCATAAGCAAGGTTGAGTAAGTTGCCTTTTGTATTGTACTGAGAATCCCCAAAAAGTGTACACACTGTCGAAGACAAGATAAACGCATACCTCATTATCAATGCCACGACCAAGCTGGAGATACTGTGGAAGACCAGCTGATCTAAAAAAAAACAATAGACAGCTTGTGAGTTACCAAAATCATCGAAGAGCTACATACATATACAATGAGATAAAAGATTTCAACCCCTGCAATAGATCTCATCCTAATGTCATTCTGAGAATACATAGACATGAACTTAGCTTGTATCCATAGCAACAAATTCGGTTGTCAGATCTCATTCTTAACACAATAAAGTTGTCTTTAATTAACAACTCTATTTAAATCGAACTGATAATCATAAAAAAGAAAAGTATACAAGCGCACTCACCATATTTTGCATAACCTATACCCATCTGCCCATATATGTTAAAACGGAAAGCAAAAGAATCAACATGTGAAGTCAACACTGTGCAATTCCTTCCTACCCCAGCCCTGGCAATTTTCGGCCTAAGCATGTGGAGAATTAACAAAAATAAGAGAAGAAAAGCAAGGAATGTCATCTTCGGTAAGCATTTAAATCAGCAGTAATAATCAATTAATGGAAGATCTAGATAGCAAGCTACTTACTTGGATAATCCGAAATCAAATGTAGGCTATCATGCAGAATTTTAACATTAGCAAAGCGGCCGTCTAAGCGTCTTACCTTCCGACCGTCGTCCGCAGCCCCAACGAAGTCATCATTTTGATCGGATGATTAGCTGAAAAATTTTCCAGAAAATTAAGCAATTTTTCTTGAGTTGGTTGTTGTACCTTTCAACTGAACCGTTATTGAGATTTGGAAGTCACTTTTGGAGATGAATAAGATGTAAAACTCTGAGCAGCAGTTTATTTGCGATCAATCGCACGACAGAGTACTGAAGAAATCGTGCGGAGAAGGCGAAATTAATCCTATTACTGAGTTAGAATAAACTAAAACCAATATCCATCATCTAATTTCAAAAATCTCCAGAAGCATTTGCCGGAATTCGATCGGAAGTCTCAGGTTCGGGGGCCCTAGCGCCGGAGTTTTGATTCTAGGAGGCGTAGTCTCAGTTTATTTTCCTCTTTTTTTCTTTTTTTTTGGGGACAACTTTGAAATAATAGTTAAACTAAAGTAACTGTATTATATTATTTTTATAAAATAATAGTAATATCTTTTTATTGAATAAAAATTGATAAATGTTAAAAAGAATCTTTTATAAAAAAAGATAGGGTTTATACTATCCGAAACACTTTTAGAAAATTGCATTTATGAATAGGAACACTTTTAAGTACCATATTAATAAAATACTATAATAGGACACTTTCTTTCTTTCTTTCTTTTTTTTGATGAAAGGTTAATTTGTATTAAACTTCCAAAGCACAGCTTCGAGTTACATGAGCTATAATAGGAGACTTTTAAGTGATTAATTTTATGCAATTTTGAGACATTTTTAATAGGACACAAAACTAAATGGACACTAATTAATTGTGTCTTATTATGTTAGTACACTTTCTCAAATTTTAATGAGACACTTTTGAAGAAAGTGTCGTATTACATATTAAAGAGACACTTTTGAGGTAAAGTGTCCCATAATAAGGGTATTATTAACCCTATTTTGTTGTAGTGTCTTTTGCAGTACGAGGATTCGTATTTCACTCTGTTAGACTAATTTTTTTACTTAGTGTAGATGAACATCTTAATTAATTTTGCGAGACAAAAATCTTTCAACAAGTATGTGTTTATCATCAGATTGAGCTTTTTACCACAGAGGACATGATAAATTGGGGTATTATTCAAAATTTCTTCCTTTTATCAATTTTCTAATACTTTTCATAAAACGAGTAAATATATCACTCAGAAACCTAGCTAGGTTTTATGTAGTTAGGTTAGATTAATATTTATCATTTGATTAAAATTAATAGAAATAATGTTCAAGAGATGCATAACATACTTATAATTTGATGTGTTGTAATATAATATGTACTAACTAGATGTTAAACCCGCACGATGTGCGGGGTTTATTCATATACATTTAAAAAAAATTATTTCAAGCTTTAAATGTGACTAATACAAATAAAGTTATTGATTTGTAATAACAAATGAGTAAAAATAAATTAGATAATAATGTTGCATGTCATGATAAATAAAAATATTGCATGTCATACAAAATAAAAGTATTTTACTTGCATAAGAAAAAACACAATAATAAAATGATCATAAATATACAAAAAAAAAAAAAGATTATTTGCTACATTACCAACGATGTATCCGCTTAGTGTTTTCTTTTTATGTTTTTTAACGTTTTTTTTTAACTACATGAGTATTGTTCGATTCTTTTTAAATATCGAGTAAGATCTAATATGAAGTCAAAGAAAAATTATACCGTATGTAAATTCATTATCGTTGTGGACATTTATGAAAATTTAATCAATGTAAGAAAATAAAACTATCATCCACCAGTATTAAAGATACAAAGGAGATATTTCATTTAACTAAAAATATTTAATCAGATTAGGTGTACATATGCAAAACCTAGTCAAATCTTTTGATGTAGAAAAACCCACGAAAGAAAAGCCCAAAATATACATTTTAATTAATTCCAGTGCATAATGGACAACGATATTGTTCGACTTGTGTTGTGCCCTTGTGTTGCGCATGAAAACAATTTTGTAGGGATGCTTGTTCGATTTGTAATTTTCAGTGTTTTCGGCCAAATCAAAGTTGGTGATTTGTCTAGTTTCTCCCTCTCCACCTTCAAGAAGTTTTTGAAATTTCCACATGAGTTTGTGGACAGAAGTCTGAATTTTATTACCCTGCCAATATACATATGAAGAAAAAATCAATTGTAATAATTGGGAATCGGGGTCAAAAAGCTACAAGGAAAACATCAATTCAAAAATTTCTATAAACCATAAAATTTAGTAGTTACCTCTTCGTCCATAAGTAAAGCTTCGGCGGATGAGTTCACCCCAAAAGTTGTTGTCCATACATAGAGGATTCGAACATTTACTTTCCAGTCAGACTTGACAACCATGGGTCAAGTCTTTTATGAAATCAACAGCATTGTTGGAGGTCGACATGGATTGAGGTGTTTGAGATTGTTCGTAGCGATGAAGGGAAGGATTGGGTGTCTGTGGACTTTTGTGGTTGCAGGTTTTCTTATGGGTTTTATGAGTATACATATACCATTTTCATAGAGTCATTTCTCACATTTGCATAGTAATAAAATCTGCCGCGATTATGGAATTAAGTGATTTTTTGTGATTGATATTCATTAATTGTATCATGATAGCACAAACTGACTCTATCCTATAATTTTGTCTTGTTTTCTTCATTTCAACTTTTGGTATTAGTCAGGCAAATCGGAATCCATATTAGTGTCAATCAGCTTTAAAGTTGTTAAACTATGTTAGGCCATCATTTATGACTTTGTATTAATTTTTTTTTTCGAATTTCAAAACAAACAAACTTTTGTAATGATGAAATCATTTTTTAAAGGCACAATTATGTGTCAATGGGAATTGTTTCAATCAGCATTAATGTTGTTTTAATTTTTTTAAATTTAAAAATAAATAATCTTGTGTACTGATGAAATCATTTTTTAAAGGCATAGTTATGCGTGAATGGGAATCGAATCAATCAGAATTAATGTTGTTTTTTTTCAACTTTCGTTCCCTTTTAAAAATTTTTCTCTCACCGAATCAGCATTAATGTTGTAGTTTCAAAATTCTATCCCTTTTACAAATTTCCCTCTCACCGAATCAGTATTAATTAATTTTATACTTTTAAAAAATTTTCCTATCACCGAATTAGTATTAATGTTATTTTTTCAAATTTTGATCTCTTTTAAAAACTTTCCTCTCACCGAATACGTTTATGAGTTTGACCATAAAATGTTATTATTATACATTAATTGTATAATGAAGTAACTATTACTTTTCTAGAAATTCAAAGGACCTTTATTGCAATTGTTGTAAATATTTTTATGCCCACCAATAATAAAATGACACATAGGATTTTGTCCTATGTGTCAACGGGAGGAGAAATTTAATTCCCTCTCTCTGGTTTCTCTCTTAGTATAATAAAATATATATATATATATATATATATGTATATACTATAGATGTTTTGCCAAAAAGTCCTTTAATAATTATTCGTCCATCTAGGCTTTAACGCCACCAGATGTGCTTTAATTCCTTCTGAAATTACTTCGAGTATCCCAAGTGACCCATTCTAAATTCCTTATACACCCCCAAAAGCCTAAGTTTTGACATATAAACATGCATCATGATAACACTAGCCACTTTTACTTGTGAATCTTTTCAAATGGCTTTGGAGAGAAACTCAACCAAGAAAAGAAGGAAAGAATTCATAGTAATTTAATAAGATTGATCTCCGCATCCTAGTATTTTATGAGTTCTACATGCATGTCTCTTTCTCCACTTATTTCTCGAATAATTCGGAAATCTTTTTTTTTTTTTTGTTACAATAATTCGGAAATCTTTGATCAAATGAGAGAGAAAGAATCTCAAAAAAAAAAAAAAAAAAAAGTAAGACACTTGAAAAATTCTTTGCTTCTCTTTTGTTACTTCTTTTTCTTCTAATCCAATTGAAATTCAAAAGTTCACAAGTGGCGTTATTATGTTTATTCATCCTGTAGGGTTTGGAAGAGTGATGGACTGCTTGGGGGTTAAAGGATACAAATTATTTGATTAATTCTAAGGGCACCCGATGTTTTACTTTATTTTATTGAGTCGAAAATAAAGCCTCGTTGCATAAATGAAGAAAAGAATGAAACGCCAGTGTGATGTATAAAGTATATATAATGTATCCTTTTATCTTTAAAAAATACTAGTTCACATCGTAATCTATAAACTGTACTGATTTTAGTACAATCACAATTTACAATGTATAAGATCATTTTTTTTTGAGATACAAGGAGCATAATGCAATGTATGAAATATTAGACGATATTTGATGAGCATTCCAATTTGATTGATGAAAAGAATATTACATGGAGTAATGCATAGTGAATCAAACGCCAACGAGAAAAGGTCGCTATATAGATTGCAAAATTATGCAAGGGAGAACCGAACTGAAAATAATCACCATGTCAATATGTATAACTAAGGCCTTAGTTACAAATCATCCCCTGGCATTTTTTTTTTTTTTTTAATTTGAAACCATCGAGTCAAAAAGTTCTGATCTCTTAAAAGACTCTTTTTATGTTAGCGGTGCTCCAGAACTGGCCGGCTTATCTTAGTATCTTTTCTTCCTGATTTTCTAGTTTAAATTTTTTATTTAATTAATACAAATTATGTTAAAAGTGAAATTTCATATAAAATAATTATTTTGGGACAAAACTACTTAATTGAAGATTACCCAAGCTAACATTTTTATCACTTTTCAACCCACTGCTGCTTAACCATTACCATGTCGGACAAAAATATTCGACACAACGTAGCCGTTGTATGTTTTTTTTTTAAAAAAAAAATATATAATGAACCAAAAGAGAGATAAGTATATTAGTTTTTCTTCTCTCAGAAAATTAGTATATTTCCCCATCCATTTCTAAGACAAGTTGTCCTATTAAATGAACCTGCATTTTCTCAATTTTTCCGGGAAAAAGAACAACTCACAATTAGATCAATATTTTTCACCCAACCTCCCCATCTTTGATCCCTTGAATTTCAACCCCATGGACGACAAATGTTTTTGGGTGGACGAACCAAAATGCTGATCAAGTCAGGCTACATATTTGGGCATATTTCTTATATATAGTCCTTTATTACTAAGTAAAAGAGAAAAAAAAAAATGCTAACTAATTTATAGACTGCAGAAATAAAATGATGGCTTTGTTTTTCTTTCTCTGATAGTATGATGTATAGGTGACGACGATCTTAAAGGAGCAATACGTCATATATTCATCAGCACGATGTAAGCCTAATTTATTCGTTCGTTGTTTGACTGAGAAGCCGTCGATAGGTGAGATGAGTACTATTATATAACTATTAGTTCAACAATATCAGTAGTGACAACAAATAATCATCTCACGAGTCACCTTAGATAAACCAAGTTGTCTACGGACAAAGTTCTTTGAGTTTGAGTTACAATCATTTCAAAAGCGCACATCTAAAATATATTCCTCTCCTCCGCGGTCTCCCATCGGTAATTTAGAGAATTTCGTAATATATATATATATATCTATTGTCCGGTTAAGTCCAAACTTTTTGTCACTAAATACGATTTAAAAATATACAAAAACAAAAGTTGAGCAGTAGCAATCAACTTTTAGGTAATTAGGTAGACATGACAAATAAAATTTAAAGAATAATTTGAGTTAAAAAAATAATTTATATTAAAGTTTGAAATCTATTTATTTTTAGTATAAATTTCAAAAGTCTTTTTTTTTTTTTTGGGGGTGGGTGGTTGGGTGAGGTTCGGAAGTAATACTTAAAAACTCTTGTACTTTAGTGGTGGCCTAAAACTGGCAGGCTTCTGGTACCTACTACTTAATTGTTTAAAGATTTACCAAACCTAACATTCTTATCACTTTGCAAACAACTGCTAATTAACTATTACCACGCCGGAAAAAAATATTCGATGCAGCGTTGCCGTTGTATGCATGCATTTTCAATTCCTAATACAATTAGCCAAAGAGAGAGAGATTAGCATTTCAGTTTTTATTCTCTGGAAATTTAGCATATTTCCTCTGAATGCGTGTAAACGCATAGACTAATTCTTCCTACTTTTGTCGAATTCCACGAAGCATGATGCAAAATATTTTTGGCGAGATAAAATTACACCCGAATTCGGAAAATATTGCTTTCAGCGACTTCATCCACGAGAAAAAAAAAAAATTTTCAAATAACAATTTGCTATAGATACAACAACTAACAATCACGTTCAAAACGTAATTTTCAAACAGCATTTATTGTTAGCTTAGGGACTGCATTAGTTACTAAGATACTTTATGACTCAACCTCAAATACTAACCAAATTAAGGATTCCTTTCATTCATGTTTTGAATCGCTAAACAAGCAAATAAGCCAAGACTCTTTAAGTTAGCGGTGCTCTAGAACTCGAAGGCTTACGTAGTACTCCCTCTGTCCCAAAATTATTGTCTAGTTTGAAATTTCACTTTTAATATAACTTGAACTAAAAATGAAAATCCAAATTAGACAATAATTATAAAACAGAAGGAGTATTTCTTCTTTACCGAATGATTTTTTAGTTTGAATTTTTATTTTAACATATAAATTATGCTAAAATTAAATTTTTAAATAAGACAATTATTTTTGGACAAAGGGAATACTATTTAATTGAAGAAATATTAGTACTCTGTCTCATAATTATTGTCCAGTTTGAAATTTCACTTTTAATACAATTAACGAGTCCAAACTGAACCCATTGGGCCTATGATTAGCTTACTTAGAGATTAAACCATTGCCTAAACCTATTTCATTAGGGTTTCAGGAAACATGTAACACTACCTCTATATAAAGAGGTGGTACTTCTCTCATAATACACATCTTTTACTTATCTTCTCCATATTTTACACACGATATCTTCTACCCATTTCTTTATTCTCTCTATTCTATTATTGACTTAAGTATCGGAGAGTCTACCCTCGAGAGACGTCCGAGACTCTATCTTGCAGGCTTTAGGTCGTCTGCCGCTTCTTAGATCATCATCACCGCCCCTCCTAAGGCACCACACAGATCCATACTTCGTCAACAATTTGAATTAGAAATGATAACCTAAACTGGACAATAATTATGGGAGTTGGGAGCAGTTTTTATTCTTTCAGAAAATTAGCATACATCCCCCAAATGCGTACATAGGCGGTGACTAACTACTTTTTTTTGTCGCGTTCCTTGAAGCATGATGCAAAATGTTTTTGTCGCAATAAAAATTAAAAATTACATCGAATTAGAAAAAAAAATATTGCTTTCGGTGACACCATCAAGACTACAATAGTATTGATTTCAAATAGCAAATTGCTAGATACAACTAACAATAACGTTCATATAGGAGTATAATGTAAAGTAAAGGAAGAAGTATTTTTAAAATTAAATGATTGTCTTAGTTTATATTTTTTTATCAGGAGAATTATTTTTAGGGCAGGTGAGAAGAGTATTACTGGCTAAGATGCTTTCAATGACACCTCTACAAGAACCAAATTAAAGATGCCTTTCATGTTTGTTGGAATCGCTTAACTATAAGCCAAGAGACCTGTATAGACGAGTTGAATTCAACGCTCAACTGAATTATAATAATAATAATAATAATAATAATAATAATAATAATAATAATAATAAAGATCGATCCCTGTGTTTCAACCACCATGAATTTGGCATCAAAAGATTCAGATTAATCATATCATCAATATATTTAAAACCCACTTGAGTAAGTAACACTGACTACTTTTACATTTAATATAAACACACCCTTTTGATCCAATCTGCATTCTCAGTCCACCAAGTGAGAAATGTCAACATTGAACACCATGGATGAAGCATCAAAGCTTGAGCTTCTTCAAGGTCAAGCAGAGATATGGAAACAAACTTTCAGCTTCGCCAATTCCATGGCACTCAAATGTGCCGTGGAGCTCCGAATACCCGACATTTTGCACTCTCAAAATCGCCCTTTATCCCTCGACGAAATAGCCTCCAAAATAAACAAGTCTTCATCACCAAACACCTCTTACCTCCACCGAATCATGCGCTTATTAGTTCACAACAAAATCTTCACTTCCACCACCACAACTTCGCCTGACTCCGGCGCCGGAGATGGTGCCTCCATCACGCTCTACGGCCCCACGGCGGCCTCGAGGTGGCTCGTGAGGGATTCGAATGAGTTGAGTTTGGCGCCATTTCTTTTGATGGAAAACCATCCATTGCTTCTTAGTCCATGGCATCAATTTAGTGCTTGTGTTAGGGATGGTGGGAATGCATTTGAAATGGCCAATGGGGCTGAAATATGGGATTTGGCTGCCCAAAACCCTAAATTCAATCAGCTCTTCAATGATGGAATGGCATGCACCGCAAAGATTACCATGCACGCAATTCTCTCTGAGTTTGGCAGTAAAAATAATGGATTCGAAGGTTTGGAATCTCTGGTCGATGTCGGCGGCGGAATTGGACAAACTATCGCGGATTTTGTCAAGAAATATCCACAAATTAAAGGGATTAATTTTGATTTGCCACACGTCATCGCGACTGCGCCAGAACATCCCGGAGTTTCCCATGTCGGCGGTGACATGTTTAAGGAAATCCCTAGTGCCCAAGCCGTCTTTATGAAGGTAAGTATCATCTACCTATTGTCTCCATTTCAAAGTAAGTGTCTAGTTTATCATAACGCTCCCTCCGTCGAGAAAAAAATCCATATTTTTCATCTTATAAATGAACAATTCACAATTAATAATGTGGATATTTTTCTGCGGACAGAGAGAGCGGCTTGCACTCTCTTCGTACAACTATTTTTGCAAATCCGAATTTAAAATTCTTCCATTTCCTTTTCTTTTTTTTTTTTTTTCTTGTTTTCATTGATGATGCAGTGGATCTTGCACGATTGGAGCGATGAAGAATGCGTGAAAATTTTGAAAAACTGTAGAAACGCAATCCCAGAAAAGAATGGAAAGATATTCATTGTTGATGTGGTCTTGAAGCCGGATGATGAGTTGTTTGGCACTTCCCGACTTGCATTTGATTTGGTGATGATTGCTCATACCAGGGGTATGGAGAGGACTGAATCCGAATGGAAGAAGTTGCTTGAGAAAGGCGGTTTCCCGCGCTACAAAATTACAGACATTCCAACTTTCTGCTCAATCATCGAAGCCTATCCAAATTAATTATTACCAAAAAATGGTTCATATACTCTTTTACGTGTGGTTTTTGTCGGATCAGCCTCCAAAATTCTACTTTTGGTTCTCAATCTGCTTTTTCTTCTTCTTCTTCACATAAACGTCTTCAATAAAATGGGCTTGTATTAGTTTATAACAAAACTGTCCATGGCATCTTAAGTTCCCTTAATTTGTATTTTAACTTTTTAATGTTAAGCAAAAATTGGCATGCCTGTCATGTAAGTCCTAGATCCTTAATTTTTTGCATCGCAATCGTTTCAGTTCCACGATACCTGTACACTTTTGTGACCTCTCCTACAAAAGTTTTATTCTATGGGGAAAAAGTAATGTATATGATTTTATAAATACTCTTTCCGTCTCAAAATTGATTATTGCCTTATTTGAATTTTGATTCTAGTTCATATTATACTAAAATTGAAAATACAAACATAAGAATAATTTTGAGACAAAACGAAAACATGTATGATTCAAGTATTTGACTCCCAAAATCAAAGAGTAAAGGAATAAGGTAAATATCATTGCATCTTTTCAAAAGATCTCCTACTTCATAGCATTACACTAAGATTTATATCGTTCACTAAAATTTTAAGATTTGGTTTCGTCGGATTTATCCAATAGTGAAATAGACTGTTAGTAAAATTTTAAAAAAAAATAAAAGTAATATTAAAACAGAAAAATATAAAAATCTTATATAATAATTTAGCAAGTGTTACAGGATTATAGTATAAGATATCCTTAGCCATGGATGATGGATCATAGTTACAAGAGTTCTCAATTTTGGAAGACAAGATCAATATTTTGGTCAACTCATAATCTTATGTGGGACCGGAACTATTGGATGAGGAATAAAATATTTGCATTCAATAATACACGATTATTGATATGATTAATTGCATCAAAATTGTTGCCCACATGATAACATATTTGATGCTAAAGAGATAGCATCTCGTACATGTATTGAGCTATTATAATTACCACCGTAGGGTCCTCTATGGGATGAAGAAACAAAGCAAAATAGGTAGTATGATCCACACATCTACTCAGTTACATAATTTTGCAACACCGAATACAATTAAAGGGGAAAAAAAAAAGTGTTTTTGACTTTTTTGTCCCTTTTCTCTCCCCACCTTCACTCCCTTTTTCCATCGGTGACCTCCACCATTTTAATCGATATTATCTTCATAATATGATATATAGGAATTTTAATTCCATTATGCTCGAAAGAAATTTGTAACAGAGCACATAAATTCAAGCGAATATTGGAGTTATTCATTCCTAATCCGTACTACTTTCAATCCAGGTATGGATCCCAATGCAGTGAGTGAACCAGGCACCCTCTAATTGTTCTTTGAGATCCATCGATCTTTACGTATCCTTTGAGATCACATCAATTAATCTTTGAAGTGATGGATCCAGCCCCATTAAATGCGCAGCAGTGTGTGCATGCGTGAATGAAGCTTCAAATCCGGAGGTCCGAATGAGTTGCTGTTTTTGACCAAAATTTTACATGCTCAGTTTTGTATTAAATTTGGACGGTGGACTGAACTCATTTTTGGCAGAAAATTTTTGACAAAGCTTCAAATTGTTTTGGCAGCCAACTCACGCGTGGTTATTTTCTCTCGTCAGTGCATAGGGATGACTTTTGTTTACACTTGGGGCGGGAAATCAGAACAGAAAGAAACATATGATCTCCTGAGTGAAGAGTTTTTTTTGTGACTGTATTATGTTCTCTGTACCACATCTCCAGAGAGGTGTGAGGTAGATAGAGCGGTATTATTGAGGATTCTAGAATTGTGATCATATTCTAGGAGGTTTGAAATTTGACTGATTGTAATAATTTTTCCATACACATATAGTGAATATTTTGCCGGTGTGATCTCGTGGTTTTTTCCTGTAATTATTTAGGAGCTTTTTCACGTAAATCTAAATGTCTTTTTATTTTTCTGGCAGTTACAATAATTATTTGATTTTTACCGTATTTACTAATTCTGGTGAATTTGATTGTCAAAATACAATAAATAATTGTTGGAGGCAAAGGTGGTAAATGTAACTTAATATTTATCGGTGCTATTAATTTTTAACGTCGATAATTTTATTTTACTTTTACCGTAGGCATTTCGATTGTGGGGGCTCACATGGGATTGGAGATTTAATCTCAACAACCCCTTGTCACGAAGAATAGGGGTTGGAGCAAGAGTAGAGGTCAAGGTCATAACAAGTTCAAGGAAAGATCCAAGTCCAGGGAAAAGAGACAATGTCATCATTGTGGTAAAGAAGGCAATCTCAAAAGAAATTGCAATCTTCTTAAGCAGGAGAGAGGGAACCGAAATCAGGATGATGATAGAAACATATCTGCTACAGCCTTGGCAGAAGATTGTGAGGTAACTTTTGTTTCTCATGATGTAGATTGTTGTCATGTTACAGATGCAGATACTGAGTGGATTGTAGACTAAGGTACTTCATACCAATGTGTTCCTAAAAGAGAATACTTTTCCAATTATAAAGCAGGAAACTTTGACACTATTAGAATGCGAATCATAGTGTCTCGCAAATTGTGGGGATCGGTGACATCTGGGTGAAGACAAGCGCCGGGTGCACATTAACACTCAAAGATGTGCAACATATCCCCGGTTTGTGGTTGAACCTGATTTTGGGCAGTGTACTGGACAAGGAAGGATATTACCATCATATGGGTGATGGAAACTAGAAACTCACCAAAGGATCAATGGTGATGGAAAGGGAAGGTTATGTTGCTCGTTGCACAAGAATAACGCGATGATATATGCGGGTCAACTGAATGCAGTTATGGATGATGGTTCACCAAATTTTGCCGTAGACGGTTGGCACATGTTAGTGAGAAAGGGTTGAATGTATTGGCTAAGAAGTCCTACATAGTACTTGCCAAAGGCAAAATAAACTCTTGTGATTAATTGTTTATTTGGGAAGAAACATCGTGTTTCATTTCAGAGGAGCTCCAGACGTAGGGAAAACAAGTTGGAGTTGGTGCACTTTGACATATGTGGTGCTACGGAGGTGGAAACTCTTGGAGGTAACAAATATTTTTCTACCTTTAAAGATGATTTCTCACGAAAAACATGGATATACTAGTTGTACCGAAAGGACCAATGGTAAAAAAGATGACTGGAATGTCACTGAAGTGTTTGCACACCAATAATGGTGGTGAATATATCTCTAGAGATTTTAGACACTATTGCAATAACCATGAATGATATCAGGCATGAGAAAATAGTTTCTGGTATGCCTCAGCACAACGTCATTACTGAGAGAATAAACCGCACTATTGTTGAGAGAACCAAATCCATGCTTTAATTGGCTAATCTGCCCAAGTCATTTTTTGGAGAAGCCGTTGGTATGGTTATCTACCTAAACAACCGATTACCTTCAATACCCTTGATTTTTTATGTTACCGAGAAGGTCTAGACAGGTAGGGACATTTCATACTCTCAGCTGAGGGTAGGTGTTCATGTATGTTTTGAAGGAGCAATGATCAAATTATATTAGTTGGTTATGGAGACGAGGACTTTACAAGTTTAGGATCCAGCAAACAAAAAAATTGTCCAGAGCTAAGACGTATTGTACCACAAGAATGAGATCATGGGTGATACGATTTGTAGATGGTGCAAGTTCCACAAGAGACGGTGTTACACCAGAGAGCATTCCAACATATGATGCCACAGGAGGAGGACTGATGGAATCAGAACAGGAAGAGGAAGAGAAAGTCGAGGGGGATCAAGAGTCTACAGTAGATGATGATGCCGAGGGTGCTGAGCAGGGGGAGCCAGAGCACCTCATTCCACCACAAGGAGCTGAACATTAGTTAAGGAGGTCCATTAGAGAACTCCAACGATCTACAGGTACCCTAGTTCTAATTATCTTTTAATTACTGATGAAGGGGAGCCAAAGAGCTTCCAAGATGTGCCATATTTCTAGAACTCCTTTTCGGCCAAATACACAACATAAAGAGCGTGCTACTTCCTTTGTTTCTTTGTGGTCACAACCGACCCACCAAACAAGCAGCACCAATTTTTTTCTCCTTCTTTAAGGACAAGTTTGAGCAAACAAACCACAATTGCCACACTCAAACAAATATGGCTAGAAGTTTGATCACGTCGAATAGAATAACACAACTATGTCAAACCAAAAACAAACTTAAAACTAGCCCCATTTCTTTATTTCCCATGCGGCTAATTTTACTTTTTAATACACAAACCCTAATAGCCGAACCAAATTTCTTTTTTTCTACCTACGGCCGTCAACAACTTCAACAAGAACAAAAGTTCCAAAAACAACTGCAAAACTTAAATTGAACAAGAACAAACCTAAGATCTAATACCAACTGATATGAATAATTCGATCTGACATAACGCGACTCTAACTATGGAAAACTGTATCAAATTATGGCACAAAGAATTATTCTTGTTTTACTTATAACTCACCAAGACAACCAATGATTGTAGGGATATTTCGATTCAAGCATGAATCGAATAGAAAATTATAAATATGGTAGACAAAAAAAATAGAATAAGGATTTTAGGATTGAAACCTATCAGAACTTGTCGATTAGATCTTTACCTTGTGATAGAAACGCGTCAATTTGCTCCAAAAGGACCACGAACTCAGCATCCAAGTTCAGAAACACCAAATCTCGAATAAGGAAAGATCACAGAGTTTACAAGAAACTAAATTTAAAATTATGCACGTAAAAGTTTATCGCCAAAAACTTCACTCGATTTTATCAAAATATCAATAAAAAATTATTATCGTCTTCTTTTACCAAAATAAGTAAACTAATCTATTTGTAAACTAAATTAGGGCAACACACGACCTCCCTCATCCCCAACATAGAAAAAAACAGAAACTACAAATAAATTCTTAAATTTTAGAAAATTACAGTTTGACCAAAAACTTTTGTTGATTTTGCAATCAAGTCCATGCATGACAAATGATCGAAATTATGGAACCATCACTTTTGAAACCAATGTTCCATCATCTTAAAACAACCATGATACCAAATAAACCCATTTTGATACAAGTTAAGTCACGAATAATATATTGATCATCATTCGATGGAACTATACCCAAGAGGCCATATCGGATCACAACAAGCTTCTTCAAAATATTTGCAATGACTATCTACTATTCTTTGAAGGAAAAGTGGATGTTCCAGGAAACTTAGTGTCAAACTTCTTTTAAACTTTGTGTTGGATAAGGAATCAAGTCTAGGCATACATTTAATGCGAACAAATTGGTAGACATTCAATGTTGTGATAAAACCTAGCGTTTTGATTCAATTGCAACTCATCCTCGCAATAGCCTTCATCCGAAAGGTGCCATTGGATAGGTTTGTAACTGAGATGCAATGTGTGCTTAAATCCTTAAATCTGGCAAATTCCTGGTCTTAAA